GAATCTCTTATCATGTAATATATATAAATAATTATTATCTCTAATACTTCAGATTTTTATCTTCTAATTAAGAATGTAAATAAAATTCAAATATCTCAAAATTGTTATTTTGCACCGTCTAGCATCATGAATGATAATGTTTTTAAGTTCGTAAATCCATTTCGAAAAAATTAAAATCAAACTGTATTTTTTACTAATAGGAATTAATTTTTATACTATTAATATATTACTTATTTTTATACTATATATATATATATATTTTGAGTCTTTCATTGCATTGTGAAACGTTAAACATTAATCTTAAAAGATTTTGTACTTACCTTATATATTGATGTAATTTTATTATAATCGTATTATATGATATATACGATTATATATACGATCAACAAATAAAAGGAAGAAATATTAATTTCTTATTACATTGCATTGTCTCACTTTATTATATTTATTTTTACTTACAGATTCAGCAATTAAGTATCATTTATACTTCAGGACGCGCATTATTATATATATGTATATATGCACCTTCATGACTTCCATACAGAGATGCAATATAGATAAAAATTGATTGCTACTAGATAACATCTATGTCATAATTTTATTCGAACCTTAGTTTATTCACATATACATTAATTTGAATTGCCAATTTGCAGTAGACATTTGACGTTATATGTGTGGCGAATATATTCCTAAATATCGATCATATATCCACAATCAAAACATGCCGCATTATTCTAAAATAAATATAAGATTATAATGCATTTGCATAATAATCATATAACATACATTATATTGTTTATAAATTATATATGTGTAAGAAATAAGATTAACAGTAGGAGATAATAAATTTAATCGAGAAAATAATAAAATATAAGAAGAGTAAAAAATAATACTTATAAGGACTTTTAAAATCAAGATTGTCAAACAGACAAAATATATTGTCTATGATTTAGTAACAATTACATTTTTTATTTGATTTTACATTGTTTTTATATTAGAAGATATTTAAAATAATATATATAATTATCGAATTCATTTTCTGGTTGACATGTACGTTATAAAATATTGCTAATTTAAAATATTAGAAATAAATATTTCGAAAACTCAACACGTTTTAAAATGTAGATATTATTTCTTCGTTAATATTCACGTGCACGCAATCCATGTAATTTTAATTTCAACAAAAAATTATTTTCGCGGAACGTGCAAGGAATTCGTGGTACATTTTAATATAATCTGTGTAAACAAATAGTAGTAAATCATATAACAGAACTTATTTCATCAAGTAAATTGTTTACAGATTTGTTATTTAAATTTTCCATGATAGATTTAAATTGGAATTGGTCGAGCATAAAATACACATTAATCACACATTTTCCAACTTGTCGCGCACAATTTTGATGATCATCCATTTCACAAACTTATATAACGAATAATCTATAATAAAAGCATGTCCGTCAGGGCGGGAAATATAATGCGCAAATATATACTTTCTCCACGATCTAGACAATACGCTTTATATACGATCTCACATAGGCTCCACACGCAGCTATTTTTATTAACTGCGCTTCTTTTAATCATGCTATTGCCTAAGGCTAATTATATTTATTCGCTAGATATTGTACCGTCTACCGATCTTCTTCCTCTTTTTAGCTCTAAGCAACCTTTACTGCCTATCCATTACGCTACATATGTATGCATATTTGTATACACACGGCGCCCACTTAATAAGTCAGTTTTTTTCTACAAAGTCTGTAAAGTCTGTTATCTCTGTACAATAAGCGCACCGCTACTTGTGCCCGCATACTTTTTATATATTTAAATATAGCCTACATATCATACAGAGAAGATTTACTACGTTAGAACTTGCGACGTATCGTTCAATACCTTCTCAGTAAGCTGGACTTAGTCTTTATTAAGCGGAATATGTCGCATCGATTGTATCGAAGAATCCAGCGTTCACAGAAATGTTTTGATGCAAGTTGATTTTTTGTTGACGAAGCATACAGTAATCATTTACTCTATCTCCTATCACTAATAACATATTACATTCTAGATAGCCAAGACACAGAAAAATTTTTTTTTCTGTTATTAATTATTATCGCAACGACCTTTCTTCATATTCTTTTTCACGAGAAATTATTAGCGCGTATTATTACATGTAACGACGCATGAAGAAATAAATATACTCCAATATATTATACTTTAAAGCTAACAAAGCATAATGCAAACATATCACTAATTTATTAAAGCGTAACTTACGATTAAATAATTTAATAATATAAATTAATCGTGAATTGTGTAAATTATGTTTATGAATAAATGATTACGTCAAAATCTCAAATTGAATTGAAACACCCTATTGGTGCTTCCGCAAATAAACGGGACATTTCCGATTAGGTCTATCATTTCAATATTAAAATAATAATCTTAATACCTAAACGTATATAACTGATTTAGATATATTTAGCATACTGAAGAAACAGGATTATTCTCACTATTGGCAGTGAATTTTGGAAGAATCCAAAGTGCCAAAATGTCCCCGTAATGATTTTATAATGATACAATTCATTTATGTGAATATAAAAACTCTATTTACTTCTCGGGACACTCTGTACTTTTTATGGAAGAACATGAACGCGTTTTCTAGTGGTCAGATGTTGTGGCGGAATTATCAGATGAATTTTACGTGCAAAATAATTGATAGCAATTATATAATAAAGTTTATAATACAAGAAAAAAATTGCTACTTCTGATTGGCAATTAAAAATGATTTATTTGCTTGTTGGACGTTTTTTTAATTCTACATATTGGAACTACGAGATTAAGAATAAGAATATAATAGATAAAAATAAGAATATAATGGGTAGAAAAAACATGCATCTTACGGTGTCTACGTGATATGAGTTTATTTAATTAAGCACTTTTTCTGTCCGCCTGATAATTTCTAGCATATAACAAGTCCGTAGTTCTAATTTGCGACTTATTTAAACTGACAAAATGTCAGAATTTTACTTAAATAACATCTCATCAGAGATCTTAAGATCCTAAGGTATATTAATGATATTCAATCGAATATATATTGTCTTTTTTTTGTAAAATATATGCACTGGTACAACTGAAGAGCAATTGATAAAGAAAGTATTTTTCTGTTTAATAATTTTAATGTTTGATTGATAATTTGATTAATGCAATAAACTTTGCATATCGATATTATTAATTACAGGTCCACTTCATTATCACATTAATAAAATGATGATTCAAATGATAATTTGAAATTTATAATGGAAAATGATAATTGATTTTTATAATATAGACTTTGTATAATATAAATATAAAAATGTAAATCTCCATTTTGTTTACTTGCTTCCTCAATTGCTAATTAATTTATTAACTATTTGTTGCTTTTATACTGCAAGCATTGTAGCCATCTTCAATTATATATGTTTTTGATAAATTAGTTTTACTAATTAACAGGAATTACAATTTTGATTTCCTGCGTATATATGTGAATGTGTATTTGATTCATTCGCAAACAAGGGCTATAGAGATAATGCCTTTATAAATGTTATTAAAATATAACGGAATATGTGAATATGAATGTATTACAATTTGTGTCTATATGCATTTTATTCGTAATCGCTTGCAGTAATCGCGAGATACATTTGATATAAAATAGAATGAAAAAATTAGGCATTTTATCAGGAAGAAAAATTTTTTTAAAGATAAGCAATACTAAAACGAAGCTTCATGATGCCACGAATTATAATCACAGTCTGCTAGTAACTTCAAATAATTGTTCGCATCTGCGACAATAACTGTTATTGCATACATAACAAATTTTTTAATTAAAATATATAAACATATATAAACATATATGAAATACATTCATATATAAATGACTACTAATGATAAAAATATCTAGACTTATATGAAAGTAAGAAATAATTATTTAAAATTAATTAATTAAATAATTAATTAATAATCAATAATTCGCTGAATAATCAATTTTAAATATATATTAAAATAAAAATATTCCTTACATGTCGTCACAGATGCGAACGTATCGCCACGAAATGTCAATCAGACATCGATGGAAGCTCGTTTGTAAGGAAAGTACCAGATGTCACAAAATTCGAAGAGAAAAGGCCTGCATATTAGGCCATCTCAAGGCAGTGTATATTTCCGATCCATGATCGAGAGCCATAAGAATATCGTCAATTGTTCGGTACTTCTATGAAGGCGAGCTACCTCAAGCTGATTCGTTGTTTGCAATAAAAATAAAAAAAGATAGATAGTACGTTAAATAACCCGTGAAATCTTTGAAATGTGACGGGAATTAATAATGCAACGCGAAAACGCTTCACGATTACTGCAAAGAACAAAAGGAGACAGTCCTTTATTCGAAGTAACTGGCGTCTTATAATACAGCCAGTCTTTTATACACAAATGTTCACCAATATGGAATAACTTTAATTTCGGTTTAACTTAGTGTTTATCTTTTTCAAATCCTAAAAATTAGACGAAGATAAAGAGTAAATTGAACTGAGAGATTAAAGTTACATTGGTGAAATCGGGTAAAAGCGGCTGATATTTTATAATATAGCCGGATATCAATGTCTTATATTACTTAATATTTTCACTTTTCGTCTTTCGTAATGAACGATGTTTCTTCGTTCGGCTTATATTAAATATTTACTACTAAATTACATAATTACTGCTTTAATCATAACGCGTTCTCCACGCGGCGTTAAATTTACAAGCTCTCGCTACAGTACGGACCATGAACCGCAAATTATTATTAGGAATGTATCGGTTCAGCAAAATGTTTATTATTGTGATACACATATATAATTGCCTAAGACTACATGTACATACACATGTTATACACGCGCGTCCTGGTCACATAACGTTAACGAATATTCACACATGTGTACAGCGTATGTACATACAATATAATATAATAACTTTCGATTGGCTTGAGTGCGTATTATGTACAAAAGGCGCGTAACACTTCTGACTTCGCCGGCGAGTCTTAAAATATTATTCTCATTTTATTATTGTCCGAGTTCACCACAGTTACGACAAGTGAGTGTAATTCGGTATTAAATATGGAAGGCCATCTTCTCCACAAAAAAAACAGTTCGCGTCGCTTACATTAATTATCAAAACGAATATTCTGTCGAACAATCCACAGTACTTTACGTCATATGTAAATCACCTTTCAGTATCCTGGTAAAGGTCTTTTTGAATTGTTGATTCGCCAGAGCGTAGCAGAAAGGATTCATAGGACTATTGGCGTAGCACAGAAAATATGAGAACATGAAGAGATGCTCGTTCGTGCATGGTGGATTTGAGCAGAATCCTTCTACCAGTGCTAATACGTGATAAGGTGTCCAGCAAGCGACAAACGCCCCCAAGATGAAAGAGATCGTACGAAAGGCCTTGCGCGCTCTGTTCTCTGTTCGTGATTTTTGTCGGCCTACCATGAGATCCTTTTTCTGCGTTTTAGCTTTCAATCGTTTCCCAATAGACTTCACAAAGTCGCGCCTGGAGCCGTTCTGTTCCGTGTCCGATGTTTCCTTCTTCTTCTGTGATTGACTCTTCGCTTCCTGGCTATTCGTGGCGACCGAGGCTGTCGGCATTATGCTGCTAGATGATGAATTCTGTGGCGGATTACTACTCGCCTTGGTGGGTTGATCTGAGAATTGTTCCGTACTATTAGACGATTCTATCGGCATAGCCGCAGTCGTTGTGATCACCGTCGTTGTCGTCACCGCTTGACGCTTCATCTTATCAGTATTGACGGAGACCTCAGTGTGTACCTTGTTGATGGGTGATGTCTGCGACGCGACGTTTGTCTGATGTGTGATGAACACGCGCGGCGGGTGCGTTTGACTCGATGCATTAGACATTATAGGTGGATGGTGCAGATGCTGTTTGCTCTGTGCGATTTGAGCAAGCTGACTGGTACCAGCTTGCTGCGCCGTCGCCCTGATAAGAGCGGTTTGCAACAGGCTGGTACTCGCGCCGGCTGTCATGGTGTTACCCAAAATAGGCGACGGGGGTGCTGTTGACAGCGGATTAGCCAGGCTGCAGGAGAAGGAAGACGGTGGACTCTCGTAAGAAGGACTGGGCAAGATAATGGAGCTCTCATCCATGTACCGCAAATCGCCGCCGTCCAAACCAGTAAGGATATCATAAGTGCCATGACCGTGAGAGCATACGATCAATGATCTAGGTCTATCGGTCGACGAGGACATTGTCGGACTGTCCGATACTGGCGGACTACTTTGAAACTGCATAGGCGGCGGTATAATGTTCTGTTGACTGTTACTAATCGACGTTCGCTTAAGTTGAGTGGGTGGTGTCACCTCGATCGAGATAATTGATTGTAGATTGCCATCGGCATCATTTGATTTTAAGGATTGTTCTGGCGTCAATGTTCGGCTGCTGGACTTGTCGGGCTCGGCGGGATTATCGGTGTCTAGAAGACTAAGCTCCTGTATCTTCGGCAGTGTTTGAGCTTTCTGCGTCGACGTGTCGCGCGTAGGACTCGTCGGCAAAAGTTTCTTCGCCGTTGGCACACTCAGCTCAACTTTGATCGGTACAATGCCGTTCAGGCGTCCGTTGGTGGCGAAAACTTGTAGAGCACCGGATTGGGCTACTAGACCCGCCAGCGAAGACCGCTTTCTGATATTAACTGGCTGTGAGGTACCGATGGTGCTTTCCTCGTCGGAGTCGAAAGCAGGGCTACTGGAGCGTTCGGATTTCTCAGTTTCCATCACCGTGATATTCGAAATGTTTTTGCTTGAATCCGGCAGCAATGCGCCATCAGTTTTTGAGATCATTTTTTGTGTAGTTGTCGCGTCCATGCCAATGACACTATCATCTATTGACGTAGCTCCAATCTTCGGTTTGTCCTGACTCAGCAAAGTACTCTGTGTTTTAGAAATACCTATACCAGCAGCGCGACCGGCCATACCGGACATCGCGCCGGCGCTCAACGCGACCATCGATTGCATCTTACGCTGCTTGGCCTCACTTTTCTTCTGCATGTCATAAGCGGTTTTGTATATACCGCCATAAAGGATGAACAGAACGATCAACGTCGTCCAATAATATCCTATTATTAACGCGGTATTGAATACCGGATCTTTGAGGAACTGTACGGCGCACTGGCCCGGATGTAGGTCTCTGTAACCAATAAAATGCTCCCAACCGAAGATGCTAATGAAAAACAATAGCGCAGGTATGATCCAGGTGATGGTCACCATCCAGATTACGCGCTGTTCCGTCCGCCAACTGCGATACTGCGCGGCTATCTTCACCGAACAGAAGCGATCGATCGTGATCAGCAGAACAGTGTACTGAGACACAAGGCATACCGTATAGTCCACTGACAGCCATAGATCGCAGAGGAGAGGTCCTAGATTCCAATATCCCATTAACACGTAGACTGTGTAGAACGGCATCGACACGGTGCCTGCACAACAATTACGTCGTTACTTGTATAGTCGGTTTCTGTTGCCACGTGTATCTGATTACTCGTATTCTGCATTCAGACAGACCTCACGATAACCAAATTACACATCTCGTATGATTATCATCACGATGAATGCATCGGGATCTGTTCATAACTGAGAAATTTGCATTAGAAATACTATCAAACGGTCGTAAAGCTATGCCCAAACATCCTATCAAAGGAAGCGAATCGAAACGCGACGTGCTACAAATCATATTGTAATTAAATTTGAAATTGGTGATGAACGATAATTAACAAAATTAATGACAATTTTAATATTTCGATATAAAAATGTATTCTTTTGCTGCGATATTTATATATTTTATAATTAATAACGCTTTAACAATAATTTCTATGGAAGTCATAAGATATAATTAATATCAACTATGTTTAATATCATTCTGAAAAACTATAGATCTCTTAAGAACTATTGATAAATCTTTTCGATGAAGTAATTACTATGATATTAAAAATTACAAAATTATTAAGCAACTATCGTCATTTATAATAATTATAATAAAATTAACTATTAATAACTTTCCAAATTTTATTTATAAATATACGAATTTATAGAAATATTTATCTAATTATAAGAAATATGATAATTTTCAACAAAATTGCCTTTATAAATCTTTTGCTTTTGACATATCGCGTTGTCAACGACATGATTTATATTAGATATTCCAAACAGATCACCACGATTACATCGTGGAATCATTTTTACGATTCAACTTTTATAGTAAGGAAAGGCGAAAATGAAATACGGAAATTTTATAGGACTTACCGATAAGCATATCAGTGGCAGCTAATGATGCAATGAAATAGTTGCTCGGTTGCCTGATGGCTTTATCTACGATAAATGCCAGAAGAACGAGGATGTTACCACCGATAGTTAGCAGTATGCATATCGCCAAGCAGATAGCAATCAGTATGGTCTGCCAGAGCGTAAATGGTGGCAAAACGGGCACTAGAGATTCTGTTTGGTAAACGTAAAGCTTACGTTAACATTATTACATTCGGTTTTATCAGCAAATGAAACACGCGATATGATTTTAATATGGAAATGTTTATAATTCGGCAATTATAATTTTAAGGGCAATTTATAATTTCAATGGATTTAATAATGTACTTGCATTAAAATATTATTGCATAATTTAAAGAAATTAAAACAATTATATGATTTCATATTAATAAATATGAAACGCAATAGAATATATTCTCAATTTTTTATAATCAATTACTTCGTAATATTTAAATATAAATAAAATATGAGTTTTCGCAATTGTTAGTTTTTAATACTTGAATACTTGCTCTGCAAGTCGCGTAATTGTACCTTAATTTCAATTACATTACCCGATGTCGAGGAGGTCGTTGCGTTTCCGAAAGTCGAGGTATTTGTCGCGTTTGTCGGGAACCAGTCGGGCAAAAGTTCCGCGTATTCACCGCTGTTCCAGCGCGGATCATCCGGGTCAGGCCATGTTCCATTTAGCTGGGTACATTCTGCCCTCAAAATCTGATTATACACGAATCGACATAGACGCTCCCGTTGTCTCTTCAGCTTCCTAAGAACAATGGAGAATTTTTTATTATGAATCATAAAACACGAAAAACGGAGGATCTGAATATCAGTGTGTGGGTGAATGAAAAATCCATTACGGTAAATTCATTAATTAGTATAAAGTAACACGAATACGGCTTTATGAAAATAAAATAACGCTAGCATGAGATACCGTCACCTCTAAATTTTTCTACGTAAATTCGCTGTAACAATAGAGTAAATCTAGGCTAATAATATGCGTACAAATAAAGCACTAAGCATTTACGTAATTACAGTCGAGAGATGAAATTACGGATTAATTCCATTTGTATTCGACTGCTATTTCTATCCACACGTGTAAATTACATTTTACGCATAAAGAGAAGTTCGATAGTTCGATGAATCACAATGTTCCTATTCCTTCGTCGTAGCTGCATGTTTGTTACCATCGAAGAAAATGTGACACCGGTATTTCCTGATTCTCTACACAGCGACATGTACAGTCCTACTCTCTGGAGCGTCCCTACAGTGGCGACACGAGAAACGAGTCAAAGGCGCTGAATACACCAGGAGCACAATGAGCTTGAAATAAGCATGAATGGGACCACATTCAACCTCCGCGCTAGTCTCATCACCGGTAGGCAAAAAGCGACAGGGTACACCTTAAAGAGAGTGAACCAAACCATTTTTAAATTATTCACGTAGTCGATTGGAATTCCACATGATCTGAAATTACGGATAATAGTCCTCCTTTTAGTAATTCAAAGACTGAATAGCTTGAATCGAAGCTATCAAACAATTCTTATCGATATTGCACCATTTCAAAGCGAATCAAACGCTATTGTCCTTTATTCACTTTTGTGCAGCGCGCGTTTTCGTAATAAAAACTAAAGAACATTAAATATCCATATTAACAAACAATGGAAATTGATACTTTACATATTTATCTTTTTATTTTTGAGATACATTGTTTTTAATGTCATTAATTATTACTTTCATCAAATTTGTAATTCTTTTATAAATTATAGAAACTCTAAACTTATAAATTATAAAAATTATAAACTTTGTCTTATATAATGTTATTCGAAATACAATCTGATTATGTAATATTTGTAAATATGTAATATATAATAACAATTCAATCTGACAGATGCTAAAATAATGCAAACATTTCATACATGAGCTGCCAATGCAGTTCCGGATATTCTATTATAAGATTGAATGAGAAATCTAACTCCAGCTTAGCAAGTCATTTTAGTGAGGAAAACACGAGTCACAGATTATCGCGTCTAAAGTTCAGCTGCATTGAAGTTCTCATGAAGGATAAAGCGTTTGAGTATATGATACACCCTCGATTTTCGTGCTTTCTTCGACGTCAAAGAAATTCTCGGCATTCAACGTCGACAAGCATTATGTCACCATAGAGCATATTGATACAATGGGTAATTTTTTGCACGATCCGTATAATGTGAATAGTGAATATATTTTTCCTTACATTATATCATAATTGTACTTCTAGTATTATTTTATATTTACAAATACAAGTCATTTAATTCACGTTAATTTTTTATTCAACTTTATTGAATTTAAAACGACATTGATAACCAGATTGTTTTTATAAAACAATTACGAGTTTATAAATTTAAATTATGTATACACAAATTTATATGTTTCAAAGTGAGATTATTATTTATAATTTATCAAAATTAATACGATTTATTATTATATTTATACTATATATTAAAATTATATTAAAATTAGTAATTTTTAAATTATAAAATAAGATTCAATAAATTTAAAAAAGACAAAGGGCTACGAGCCTAAAATTAATCGTTATAAATTAAAATTTGAAATTGAAATTTGTTAATAAATAAACATGTCATATAATTAAAATATAAAACTTTAATTTGTCGATAATACAAAACAAAACAAACGTTTCGATTCCTGGTTTGGATCATTATCAATGTAAACAAAAATAATAGTGGAAATATTATATAGATAAGATATATAAAAATTATAATCGCTTTCGATCGCAGTATTAATTATCAAGCTCACTCAATATGAAATAAATGTTATAAGAATGTTGTAATCGATAACCATGTATTCCTCTAGATTGTGCATGTAGATTATACAAACATAATAATTTTTACTTTCATAAATATGGAAATTTACGAACGCGGTTCTTTTAATACACACATAGCTCTACTTTCAGAATTTTACAAAATTGATGAATCTTACACAGTTAACATTATTATATGGCAGATCTCCAAGAGTAACTGAAGAACCGCGAGAGAATAAAGAATGAGTTACGAGATTCTTTGTTTCCCAAGAGTAAATACTTGTTCTCGTTATTCGTGAGCATCCTTCTTGTGTATCTCTACCGTAAAATCATCCGTAAATACTTGTCCTTGTTATTAGGACTGTATTTCTATCTTATACCACTATATTGTGAAACGTTCGTAAAAAAAAGATCGACACTTGTAATTATCTGAAAGTACAGTCATTTGGTTAAGAAGAATCGGGGAAAAAATTTTATAATAATGGAAAGCAAAATTTTTACTCGGCGAAAGAAAGTTTGTTAACATAATACGTGTATATCATAGTTACAAACTTTGTCAGTTATAATATGGAATGTTTGCATGAATAAATAGAAACAAGATCGTAGAAAAAAATAACATTTAGAAAATTGTATCATTAGTTTTATTATTTTTTTGAAAATTAATAATTCAGTATGTGGCAATTAATAATCTCAATTAAGAATTATATAAAATTATATAAAATTTGTTTCATTAATAAATTATTGTTATTATAATTATTATGTAATATATTATACAATATAGCACATATAGAGTTTCTTATTTTACGAAAAACATGTTTTAACAAGTTAAATTGTGAATAAAAAAAGTATTTTCAGTAATTTCACGAAATCGAGTTACAAACTGATTTTCCAGCTTAAATTGTACGATATAATGAAGAAACTTGTAACCAATGTTCGCGTTCACATCCTCTCTCTAACTGCACGAGTTAATTCGATCTAATGTAAAATGACGTAAATTACAGCACTACTACTTCCTGTCATTTGCATAAGCACGTAGTATCAACATTTCAGAAAGTTTTTTTTTTAATCACAAGGGAGGAAAAAAGCAAGAAAAAGGCAAAGGGCGTTACAAGAAGAGACACGCAAGTGGATTGTAAGACTCACGAAGGGGATTCAGCTCGTCAGAAGGATATCCCTCCTGAACCTTCACACATGAAGCTTCGCTTTATTAACGCTAAAAATATCTACTTTATATCAAGCAGACAATAGTGTATGTATCCAACATTATTATAAAAATGTACAATCAATATGTAATTTATATTCATATGCGTTTAATATATCCAAAGTATTTATTAAAAAAACGCATATATAAATTAAAATGTATATAGAGTATTACATTATTACGATTATGATTTTATCAAGAAAGTAGAAAAACAATAAAATAACAAAAGGAATAAATATTAAATCTACAGCATTAATTAAATGTAACCCAGTTGTTAAAAAAGCAATAGATTTAGTGAAAGGAATATTCAATTAACTTGTATAATTTAAAAAATCTATATAGAAAATCTTATTACATTAAAATATATATAATTTTGATTGTTTATATTGTTTTATAACATTTTCTAAGACTTTTTACTTGTAGAAACAATTCTTTCGGCTATGTAACTTTGAACATAGTTACATTTTTACGTCATATTCTTCGAATACTTGCTAGGTAAAAAAAAAACAAAAACATTTGCTCCATTTTATTCATGCAATCCATTGTCCCCGCTACATTCGTTGAGTGTGACTTGTCAGCCCGCACCAGCTACACGCCAGTATCTTGCCAGTCGAATGGACACTGAGCCGGTGTATCGAATCGCGTGGACATTCGTTAACACCATGGCGCAATAGCGCTCAGTGACAGAATGTGTTGTGTGCATGTCCCTTTTAGATGTGCGCGAGCAGGTTTCGTCTGTGTACATATGCCGAGAGAGGGTGGCAAAGGGTGGAAGCTATACAAGCCTTGGTGAGCAGAGGATCATCGCCGTGGAATGGCATGATCATACGGACGGATGGAAGGGCCGCACTGGAAGGAGAAAGGCTGAGAGGGCGACTGAAAGAGAGGAGCAAATAAAAAGTTGGACCGTGTTGTAAGCGGGGAAAAATTACAAGGAGATAGCGGAGCAGGAATGACGGCGAGCGACGGCAACAAGTACCCCGTCGGCGTCGTTCCAGTGTATCGTAAATATTGCAGCAGCAAGCGAGAGACTCGACGAACCAACCCAGATTCGTTATTTGTCAAATCGAACTGATTCACAACAAGAATATAAAATATACGATCATAGAGATTTTTGATTTAAACAATTTAGAGATTCGAGAATATAAATAACGGACTATATCCTTTATCTAATTTTTTTAATAAAACTTTATTGTAACAGAGTATGCGTTCATTTATAATTACAAGATAGCTAAAACTTGCTGAAAATTAGTAAAATACTTTATCGAGTAGTAAATACTTTATCGAACAATATGATTCATTAATATTGAAAAACTTTAAATTTTAAAAATCTAGTACACCTTGTGTTGTTATAATAATTTTTCTGAAAATAACTTTTTATCTAACAAAAAAATCACTGTTTTTATTAACATGATCTTTTGGCTACTGATAATTCATCCTTGAAGATCGACAACAGCATCGCATTTATGGTTCCATGTTACAAGTTTTCTTCGCCATATGTTTGCAATCGCCTCTGAAGGAAATCTTATTTTTATTTTCCTGCCCGGCTACTGAATGGAACATTTCAAAAGACTCTCTCACCCTCCTCGCCAAAATACATAACCCATAGCTGCAGGGTAATATTGGAGCAGATAACGTTAGTTCCTCTCAACAGTGCATCTTCAAGTGATATGATTTTCTTTAAATTCTCCTCTTCAAGGTCGAAGCAACTTTAAATCAATTTTGAAGAGAGAACACATAGATATATGGCGAGAATCAAGCTATT